TTTTACCTTATTTGTATAGTTGTATTTTATATTTAATCTGTATATCTGTATTTATGTTCTACTGTTAGTGTTATCTGTATGCACCAAGGGTCTGAGAGTAACGCAATTTCAATTCTCTGTGTGTATGTGCTGTACATGTGGAAGAATTGACAATAAAGCAGACTTGACTTGACTTGACTTGACTTGATATCTCACTTTATTATAAGTGTTTGTAGTAGAAACTGATAATTTGAGTTAAATTTTTTGCTGTTAAAAGAGTATAGAACTCTTTCATAGAATTATTGGTCATAATCTGAGAACTTTCTTTGATAAAACGTCAATAATACATCAAAACAAATACAAATGACTACTTGTGTGTGTGTGTGTGTGTGTGTGTTGGAGAACGTTTCATTAACCACCAAATAAATAACTACTGTAAAGCAGTATATGTCCATATCAATCTATAGTTAGAGTTTCCAATAACTACATTCATCTCAATAAAAGACTTAGATCGATATACAGAAAATGACAATGGTCATAAAACCTTAAAAAATGACGAGCCCGACGGAGCTATATTTAATGTTTAAAGACAGCTAAATTTAGCTTAATATTTTCAAACTTAGGCTATTTCTCATTTATAATACAGATTCACAATTACCTTTGATGATGGATTTAAAAGGTCCCGTGTAGTTATTTGGCAGTAACACTTCAAATATATAATTATAACAATGTAAAATAACCAAAGCGCACGAAGCACAGCTAATACTCTTCTCACTTCAGAAAAGTTGCTGCTGATTGTCGATTGAAGACGTCGTCTTATTTTCTTTTTTTATGAGCGGTAGGCAAACCAACTTAAATAAGGTTTGTTCCCCCTCGAGGTGGGCGATATGGCAAAAATATCACAATTTGTTTTTTTTATCACGGTTCACGCTTTTATCACGATTCTTTATCATGTTGATTTTTCTATTTTGCAAGCTGTTTGCATTACAGCCAAACTTATTTCCCTATTATAAAGACAAAGCCTTTCAAGGTAACAACATATTTTAAAAAGTATGGTGGATATTTAGGCCAAAGTGGGTGAAGATATAAATCTTTGTCATTACTTTATCTTTGTTATTAAAAAATGAGAACAAAGATACACATTACAAACAGGCCTACACATAATATACAAATAAAATAAACAGTGTTTTATTTTCAGGTAGGCTACAATAGGTGTATTTATTAGCAGGACCATTCAAAAAAATTTATGAACAAATATAAAAATAAAACACTATACACATTGATTCCTATTAAACCAACTGTATTAAAGTTTTTCAGTCAAGAGTATTGAGTGATTTTTCTCCTTGTGTTTGGTGTTTTATTAACATTAAGGGAATAATTCACCCAAAAATTAAAATAGGCTAGTGTTTTATTTTCATACCTTCATTTACTCACTCGAAAGTTGTTTTAAACCTGAATGAGTTTCCTTCTTCTGCTAAACATAAACTCTATTTTGAAGAAGGCGGAAAACCAAACAGTTGCTGGTCCACAGTGACTTCCATAGTATTTTTTTTTCCTACTATCAAAGTCAATGTGGACCAGCAACTGTTTGGTTACCCAGATTCTTCTAAAAATATTTTCATTGGTGTTCAGCAATATAGATTTGGGACAACATGTGAGTGAATAAATAATGACAGAAATTAAATTTTAGGGTGAACTATCCCTTTAATTACAGTCAGCAGCATGTAGCCTACTGACCTACCGTCACGCATCTAATGTACAAGTACGCATCCGTTTCTCTCAGTTGTTTTTATTTTAATTTTAGACATAACCAACTGAGTCAAATCCTGTGTTTTTTACAGTATTAGCACAAAACATAACTTGGTAATCAGGTACTGTTTGACGGGCTTTTTCGTTTTCGTGCGCGCGCTTTGGGTGTGCTCAGAAAAAGCGCTGGTCAGAACAGCACACGAATGAAACGTTTAACCAGTAAGGCTTTAAAGCAGATGCAAAAAAAATTACTTTTGTGATTGTGAATTAATGCAGTGTCCCGTGAGAGTAACGAGTTAACACTGATAATGTATGTCGCATTGTACAGTATATTGATTCGGTGGCGCCAGAACTGCAGCTGATTGAATGTGTGCTGCAGCACGATACAACGACATTTCTTCAAAAAGCAGATCGTGGAGACATTTTTATCGTCCACGATCAAAAATCTTCATATCGCACATATTCTAACCTCGCCCTAGAATAAAATAGAATACAAGTAGGAATATAGAAATTTAGAAATAAACATACAGATTTGTAAGCAGCAAATAATTGAGCTCAACTTCATTTAACTTAAATTTAGCTAAGTTTTTGTTCCCTGGCATTCAGTTGGCATAGTTTGTCTCTCAGTCTGTTGACACCAGTGAAATGAGCTTTAAGTGGCAGTTTACAGGTGATCTGAAGACATCAGCATAATGAATGAAGTGAAAACAGAAACTACTAAGTGGACCATCAAGGAATCTCAAAGGATATTTATATTTGAATTTGCATGAATTTCAACAGAATCAATGTTTGAATCACTCAGCTATCAATTGAACGGGCCATAAACAAATTTAACTTAGAAAACAACACTCTCAATGGAAAAGAAACTAAAATAAAAGAAAGAGGAGTTTCTTCTGCTGTCTCTACAACTGTCCCAGAGTGTAGCCTCGGTTAGGGTTTTACAGTAAAACAACAACAGCAGCATGTTGTGTGAATTATGTTTTTATTGACATGCAAAATTGTCAGTGCTCTTAACAACAGTTATTAGCTGAATACATTAAGGAATGTCGATTGACATTGAACATAAAGAAGTAAAACACAAAATAAGAACAAAAAATAGATGTGATGAAGACCAACTTTCAGTGAAACAATCACAATCCAATCAATATGATGCCTTTAAGTCCATCATTTTGGTGTGATTAAGTGGCAGTTTTTCTCTGCAGATGGTGAGGTTGTGGGATGTGATACATCTGAAATACACTGGCTTCCAAACAAACATGATCTTATCTCTCTTTTTTTTTTTTTTTGGTCACATATAAGTGTGTGCAACTCTACTAAGCTGTGGAAACTTCTCTCCTCCACTAAGTAAGTAAAAGAGACAATAAATTTATCATTCATATTGTTAGATTGTTAGATTTTTTTTAATTATTACTTGTGTTTATGTATAAACATACCCAGTCACAAAAAAATAAATATGAATTTATATCACTTTTTCTTTTAAGATGGTGAAGGGCTGGCATACTGTCCATTTGTGCTTTTGGCCTTCATAAACATAATTGTTTTTACACAAACATATGGACACACTATAACTCTAAACTCAATAGTTACATTTTTTAAAGGGGTCATATGATGCGATTTCATTTTTTCCTTTCTC